GCCTTGGGGAGGTGTTCTAAGCCGAAGCACAAGGAGCGCGTACAGTAGAATAAGCCCTTCCATAGCTTCAACAGGTCTAGTTCTGATATCTCTGATTGCGCGCCGAGGTATGTCTTGAGTGAATCGAGTGCATTGTCGCGAACTTTCTTGTCTGTCGCAAAAGTCAGCGTTCCGTCTGAGTGTCTCCTCAACGTAGTGATTTCGTACCGCTGGAAGCAAGGTTCCTTATGAAAGGGTTGTTTTGCGCGTCTGATGCCATGATGTGCTGTGATGTGTCGTGATACGTCGCAACGTTGTCTTTGCTCTGAGGCCTGACATGCGGGCCGAACTTTTTTTGGAGGGCTCATGGATGCCGCTAAGATAGCGATAAGGCGGGCACCATGGCCGTGCCACATGCAGATTAGCGCATGTTGGAGGACTGGGCGAACACGCGCATTTCAGGCACGACAACTTATTGTCTTGCGCGTCCCTGTTGCTAGAATTACGCTCGAAGAGGCTCTCTGTGCTAATTTTGAGATTTGCGTTCTGAAGCGCGTTACGACTAAATCTACTGCTACAACCTTAGGCTAACTTCGACGCGTTGCACGTAAGGCAACATCTAAGCATTGTCTCTGCAAGAAGCTTTTGCAAGGCTCTTAGAATAGTTAGAAAGAATAGTAGATCTATAAAAAGTAGTACCTAGGTAATAGAACGCTAGTTAGCTAGATTAAGAGCTCTTAAATAAGCTAGTACAGATTAAGTAAGACGTGTTAGCTATGAAGTCTGTGCGCATACTTACTAAGCGTTGTCTGCTCTTAGTTACAGTCACGAACTAGTTCTAGCAGCTAGGTGCCTAACTTCACTTTCCTAACAGCGTAACAGCGTAACAGCGTAACAGAAAAATATCTAACGTGAACTATCTACGTTAGTAAGCTCTTCTACATAGCAATATTGCTAGGGTCTAGATTCTTTAGCTAGTTTGGACTCCGCTGTCTTCTAGGTATGTTTGTCCTACGCTCGCAGCCTACCTAGATACCTCGTAACGCGACGCATACTTTACACACAGCTCGATTTCATTACAAAAGATCTCGAGCATGCCGGCTAAGCCGAGAAAGAAGGCTAACGCGATGCAGTTGCAGCGCAAGGGATGCCATCTATGGTCGTAATCCCGGCTAACGGACACGAGAGGCGCCGTGTCCTAGTAGACCGCGTAAGTACTCTCTAAACTTCGGTCGCACGCGTTTTAATACTAAAACTATCTTTAGGTGCATTCAATTGTGTCAAATCGCGTTCAGAACGGTGTTAGTACTCCTTCACCCGAGTGGTCCGTGCGCGATGCTGATATCAGGGTCTAGGACGAGCAATATCTGGTGCGCTGGACGTCGGACACGTCGACTTCGAAACCTCCGCTCAGCTGGCACTCAGTTAAGGACTTAGTGCGATGTCTAGAGCAGATCCAGGACTACCTCGAAGTGAGAGAGAAGTAAGCGGCATCTCAGTACTAGCTTTCTGCATGTTACTAACCTATCTAGGACCCTACCGCTACCTTCAGACATAAACCCTTCGAGGAAAAGAAAGAGTCCTGATGGTGGTTCATCGTACGAACGCCGCTCTTCACCATTCGATCGACGACTACAAGAGAGTCGTACGCCGTCAGCCTCTCGCTCTTCATCCGTGTCATCTGCAGCAACAGTCACGTCTCTAACCAGTGACATTTACAACGGAGTTCTGGATGCTGATCAATATGGTCATGTATTCTGCAGACACGTGAGTCGTGATAGCGAGCTTCCCCTCATCTGCTTCACTGACATGCGACAGGCTTCGGGTCCAGACATACCCGAACTTGACATTCGTACCGTACCCACGCCAGAGATGAACCGCATTGCACATCGTTCTAGTGTCGACAAAGCACTTATGTATATCCGCAATGAATATGTCCGGAGACTAGCGAAGGTACCAGGCAAGCCCATTCACTTGTTCAATGTGGTAGACAAAGCCACTCCCTCACTGCGCTTCCGGTACATCTCTGAGTACGTGCTGGATGAGCAACAAGGTGTCTACCGCGCATCAGTCGAAACACAACAAGGGTGTCAAAAATGTTCACCGCAGATGGGTCGAGACATCGGATGCGAGTACACAAGGAAGTGTGACTGTCTAGAGTACGCAGCAGTGGATGAGAGCCGCCTCGATGAAGAAAGCAAGCGGGAATACCAACTTGCGCTCGAGAACGGAGATTCAACAATGGGCTTTCCCAAGAAATTCCCTTATTTCGCCGAGGGCACCAAACGAGAGAAGACCGGCTGTCTCGTGCCATTCTATCTTAACTCCCGTCGTCCAATCTACGAGTGCAACGACAGGTGCAAATGCGGCCCCAAGTGTCGTAACAAGAATGTTCAGTTTGGACGACAAGTCGAAGTTGAGATCTTCCGAGCGAACGATGGACGTGGCTGGGGTCTCCGGTGCAAACAAGATCTCCACGAAGGCCAATTCATCGATACCTACCGCGGCGAAGTAATAACAGATGCCGAAGCCACGCGCCGCGAAACCTCGTCGTCAAAAGCAAAAACGTCCTACCTCTACTCCCTCGACAAGTTCGCTGAGTCGGAAGGCCTCAAGGAAGAAGATCTCTACGTTGTGGACGGCGAGTTCATGGGCGGACCGACAAAGTTCATCAACCACTCATGTGACCCGAATTGCCGGCAGTACACTGTCTCCTACAACAAGCACGACCCGAGAGTTTATGACATCGCGTTCTTTGCACGAAGGTTCATTTCAAAGGGCGAGGAATTGACGTTTGACTACCTTGATAAGGAAGAGGGGGAGGAGATGGATGAGCCGGGCGAGGGGGCGCTTCCTTGTCTTTGTGGGGCGAAGAATTGCCGCAAGTGGCTGTGGACGTGAGGATCGTGTCGCACAAGCGCGCGTGACATGTGGGAAAGTTCAGGTCGGCGTCTCAGAGAAGAGTGGACGGCTGTCAGACTGGTGAGGGGCTTATCTTCATGTGACGACTGCATTGCTCTGTATCAGCGATGAGCGTTCTGGCGTCTGCATTTTAATTTTGTCAACTATGATACAATACCATATCAGTTTATCCTTTCAGAAGCCTTCTTTCGTGTCCAACGTTGTTTTTATCCATGCTGATGGGGTAGGCGCAATCAATCGCGTACGTTTTTCGTCGTTTGTTTATCAGTATCGTCTAGACTGAACCACCAGTTGCATCACTAACTTGCTTCCTGAACTACACCCATCGCACTGGCACACAGATACATTGATCATGATCGCCTAGAACACGGAATAGTGCGTTGTACTACAATGTTCTGCCACTCATCAACTGACACGTATCAAGTCTCGAACGACTCTGACATCAAGTCTCCGAAAAAGTACCAGTGAACCCCGCAGTGGTCTACCACACGTCCCAAAGTCCTCGAGATTTAGCCTCGTGTCAGGCCAAGGGGGGATGCAGTACCTCACTTCAGCGGGTCAGGAACCAAAGTCTCGACTCGACTCAATGTGCGCGGTCTTCGCTTTTGGCCATGTCACCCCAGTGATCTCGCCGTCGAAATGCGCTTCGGTCGCGGAGTGGCTATCTTGGGCTCACATTCCAACGACATAGACCCTCGAACTGTGATTAACGAGGATGACAACGGCCAGCAATCTCTCCTCAGAATGGAAGTGTTGTTAGCAAGTTCTGTAGGCCAAGTTGCGGTCACTAAGCCATGACATATGGAGCAGAAACAGTGTAGTTCATAGCATACCCCGTGAGGTACCTGAAGGCTCAGCCCACTCATCTGGAACTTGACCCTTATGATGGTCTTGATGTTCGCGCGACCGGCCCCGCGGCACCTGACAGTGTGGTTTCGGTACACGGCTACGTACCCGAGATCGCATTCGCTGACAAGTGGATTATGCTTTGGTAAATGGATCCGAAACAGTAAATTAGAAGCGCTACGATTGGGCGAGACGGTTGCATTGTGACTATCGTGCAGTCGTCACATATAGCGCCGTGATCACCCGTCTTTGCACTGACACGTAGGTATCGAAACATCTGGTACAAGAAAAAAGGAAATAGACATGTCTACACCGCAGCCGTCCAGGTATACGTCAGTTGAGCACGCGCTTCCCTATTAAATCCGCAGTTCATGAATTATCAGGGTCTCTCTACATACCACAAGTCCACTTTCAAGATTGCGCAACCAAAGCACTTCCTTAACAGTGACTCCGGTCTCACTGTGCCACCATAACATCACTGCGACACCGACATGCAAATGTTCGCAACCATTCTAGAAAAGCTGCGGCTTATTCCCAACACAACAAACGAGGGGAAGACACAAAACGAAGAAGGCATACCATATGTCCAACTCAACGACGAATACGACACAGCCCTCCGGTTATCATGGACAAACGATCCAAAGAAACTGTACTTGTCTGCGTGTTTCGACCCGAAGCGGGAGGCGAATGTTGCAAAAGACTACAACATTGAAGGTCTTTGTCCAGTGGTCAAGGAAACCAAAGGCGACGAATTCATACTACGGGACAACGACGGCGGGTATTATCTCTGGGACGCATGGGTGGGTGAGTTGATGAAGTTCCGGGATTGGTGGATCGAAGGCTTCACGACAAAAGAAGAGCTAGTGGAGAACCTGGTGTGCAACATGACAGAAGCGCAAGCGGACGTGGAATTCATCGAGCGGAAGCGTAGAGACAGTGTGGTAGACTAGTCTTGCCCTGCATCTTGTAGTCGACTTGAAGATCGGAATCGGGATGGATGCATGCGAGGCGAGGTTGGGAGAAAGATGTAGTTTAAACTTTAAGCGACGTCGTCGGCAGCCAATGAAGAATGAGGACCCTGACCCACCATTTTTCGTGCCCCATTTTGCTGGTCCGTGACTCCGACGCAAAGGGACTACCACTGATAAAAGCGTCGACGCGGTGATCGTCGCCTGCCATGCCGATACCTGACTGAGACGCGTATTACACGGAAGGGTTCTGCTAGTTTCGAATCTCTCTAATCAAACAACAACATGCCTCAGTATCTCGTCAGGCTTGCGCAAGCGCATGAGAGTTTTCGGAAAGTCGAACTGCAAGCGCTAGCCGATATTGCGGGAGTGCCTTTACATTTTGTCAAGTATGAAGAAGATGTAAGTACCTTTCGTTTCACCGAGCAGTCTTCCAGTCTCAACTTCAACAGTCGCGTCTCTCGCAGTGTTGTTCTGGTTCAGATCCCGAAAAAGCAATCTCAGTGTCGCGTCACGCCTTACAAAAGCATACATTTCTGACGATCAAAGTCACCCTACTGCATTGTCGATCTGCCGTCAGAGGCTGCGGCACGAAAAGCCATCGCACGGAGCATCCTCGCACAGGGCATCTACGAGCTATGGGGCCAGGGATCAACATACGACGCCCTTCACGACTCCGTTCGCAGTCTGACCACATCCTGGTGGCCGCAGTACATTAACGCATCTTTCCGCTTTACCATAGAAGGCTATCGCGGCAGTAGATCAAACGATGAGCAGCGCGACATCATCGACAGTTTCTCCTACATGGCCTTCAAGGGACCACCGCGGATGCGAAACCCAGATGTCGCATTCCGTGTCTTTGAAGACTACGATCTTAATGTTAAGAAGCCAAAGTACATTTACTTTGGTCGCTTCATCGCCGACTCGTGTCGCAACGAAGCCAAGAAGACATTTGATCTCAAGAAGAGACATTACATCAGCACTACATCGATGGACGCCGAGCTCACACTGTTGACGGCTAACATCGCACACGTGGCACCGGGGAAGTTGTTTTACGACCCTTTTATGGGCACGGGCGGCTTCCCGATAGCATGCGCTCACTTCGGAGCGGTGGTATTCGGGAGTGACATTGACGGCCGCACTATCCGCGGCCTAGGAGGCAGCGCAAGAAGGGGACAGACAGGGAAGTACGACGTCGTCGGCAACTTCAAGCAGTACGATCTAGAGTCAAGCTACCTAGGCGCCTTCGTCTCCGACCTCACCAACACCCCACTGAGAATACCGCCACCCAGCAAAGATCACACGACAGGCTACCTCGATGGCATCGTATGCGACCCACCCTACGGCATCCGCGAAGGCCTGAAAGTGCTAGGATCCCGGCAAGCGCTGCTAGACATAGAACGCCAATCGCACCAAGACCAATTCAAAGAACCCGGGTACATACCCCCGAAGCGGCCCTACTCCTTCACCGCACTGCTCGATGACATACTAGCCTTTGCAGTCGCAACACTAGTCCCCGACGGCCGAATCAGCATGTGGATGCCCACGGCGAATGACGAGGACATCGAGCTCATCATCCCGAGCCATCCCTGTCTCGAACTGACGTCGGTCTGCGTCCAGGCGTTTAACAAGTGGTCACGTAGACTGCTGACGTATCGGCGGCGCAGGGAGGCGGAGGTTCCTGAGGGGGCGGCGGAGGCGGTTAGGAGGGAGTATGAGAAGGGGACTAGGGCTAGTGAGTTGAATGATTTTAGGAGGAAGTATTTTCAGGGGTTCAAGGAGTTTGAGAGTATGAAGAAGGAGTTTATAAGGATGAAGGTGGATGCTAGGGCTGGGGAGGAGATGGCTGGTGTAGGGGAGACGCCTGGTGCTGGAGCGACGGACAGTGTTGTGAAGGATGATGATACCAAAACGTAGCTTATGTGTGCTTCAATACATATTCAAGAGCTAGGATGAGCTATTCTGCCCCGGCATCCCTAGTCGATACCCATCATTAATGAGTGATCACTTCCCCTCCCCAGGATCTACCTTCGCCCTCCACCTCCCATCCTCCCCCTTCTCCAGTACAACCCTCTTCTCCGCCGCCATCAACGTAAAACTATCTTTATTCTTCTCAAACCACACTTGCCCCTCCCTTGCTCTCGATACACAAAGCACATCTGTCTGTGCAACTGCCGTACCGCCAGCAGCAAGAGCCAGTGCACCAGCTGCGAGAACTGGGCGCATGCTGGACTTTGTGATGTTGTTGTGGACGTGGGTTTGGAGACGAAGACGGTTGATTATGGGTGTGCCTGGTGGGGAGGGCAACGGAGGTGGTGGGGTTGGTGTTGGGGGAGGGGGGTTTGGCCGTTTGAGTGGAGTACGGAGGAGTGGATCAGATAGCCAGAAGCGGTGTGTGATCCTGGGAATACAGCCTGACATGGACTTTGGGAGATGGAATAGAAGCGACATATTTCCGACTGCCTGGATTGAATGATTTGATTTGAGTAGGGAAGGATGAAGGTCACTCAGCGTTGGTTTGAAGTTGAGTCGGCACGTTGTTTGTCCATAGGTTTGACAAGCTGGGAAGAGAATGAACAATGGAAGACAGAAGTGTATGAGCGCTGTGTGACGTTAGGCGTGGTGTTGCGATGGCATCGTCCGCTGGTGCTGTTACTTCACTGGTAGCTGCGCTGAAGTTGCTTTCACTGAGATATAATGGAGTAAGATAGGGCCGTGAAAGCTTAACGTTGTCGCATGCTCCTTGAACTGAATCCCTTGGTGTTAGCACCTCCATGGTGGTTGTGCGTCTGTAGTCTCCAGATTCCTTCTCTTCGTCATCTTATCCTCATCCACGGCTAGGTCAGTCCTGGCCATCTACACCAACAACTTCTGTCCCTTCCTTCACAGCCCCAGATCTGTCTCAATTCGTAGCAGAACCAGCAACCATAACTCGTTCTTTTGTACAAACATATGATACAATACCACTCTTCAACTCTACACGCCAATGACGAAACCTACTTCCCACCGCCCGTCAAACTCTCCTTAACCTCCCTAACCCCCTCTTTGACAACCGCACCAACGTCCACCGTCTTCCCATCCACGCCCGCCCTCTCCTGAACCCCCTGCTCCGCATTGCCCCCCTCTCTATCCACAAACCGCGGCCTATCCTTCCACCCATTCGCATGCATATACCCCGCCGTCACAAACCCCACAAACATGCCACCATAATGACTAGCATGATCCGCAGTCGACGTCCCCTTCTTGAACGATTGGAAAATCTCAAGCACGATGAAAGCACCCAACAGCATCTTAGGCCAAAACGCCACCTCCTGGTCTTTTACAAAAGGGATTTTAATCTTCTCTTGATCGGTGAGGAGGCAGTAGAGAACGGAGATACCCCAAATAGCAGCTGAAGCACCAACAGAATGCGCCGTAATATTTCCACGACCGAGATTAGCCCAGTACAGAGAGAACAAAGTACCCACGGCGCCGGCGGAGATGTATGTGCCCATGAAAGTGCCGCGGCCAACGAGGTCGCAGCATGCGGGACCGACGAGACACAGCATCATCATGTTGGCGAGGAGATGCTCGTACTGGACGTGGCTGAAGACGTTGAGGACACTTTGGACGGCGCGCGGGTAGCCAGGGACGTGCATGAAGTAGCGGGTTAGGATGGGCCAGAGGGGCATCACTCGCCATGCTACTGCTATACCGACGTTTATGGCCAGCAGCGCGCCGATGGTGGCGGTTGTGGGGCTGAGGTCGGGGAGGAGGCGGTAGGAGGGCGAGGGCGGGAGGTAGTAGTGGGCGAAACCGTAGCAGATTAGGACTGTGAGGAAGACGAAGGCGGACATGGGGTAGAGACGTTGCGCCTGCGATGGTGTTAGTGATGTGTCGAGCTGAAGGCAAAGGAGAGAGGGTGCTTACAAGGGTGGTTTGTGCGAGTAACTCTTCTTCCGTCTTTGCATCCGTTATTACAGCTGCCTTGCTGTATTTCTCCATTTCCTCTTTCCTTCGGCTGACTTGCTCGCGACCGAAGACGTCGACGTAGGCTGTTTGACCGGGCTTCATGAGTTGCGTGCCAGTCGGCGTACGCACATACTCTCCAGTCGCAAGTTTCTCCTCCATCTCCCTTTCTTGTTGTTCCTTCTCTTCTGCTTTCCGTGTAATCTCCTCTAATCGTTGTCTCCTCTTCTCCTCGATGTTGAGCTCAAATTGACTCTTGCCTGCATGCAGTATGCCAATCTTCCGATTGTCCGCTTCCTGTTGTATCCTCTCTGCCTCTTCCTTCTCCATTTGTTCTCGGAAAGCGCGAGCGGGGTCCTTGTATTTGGACTCGGTCTCTGGGTCGGCCAGCCACAGCTCGTAGGCTATACGGTTTGCCTCCTTCTCTGCCCATTCCTCCGCCGCACGCGCCTCATCTATTGGGTACTTTTCTCGTAACCACTCCAGGCCCTTCAATGCCGTATCCCTGCTCACGTGTGTATATTGCTTCCCGAGATTGTCCACGCCGTAATCGGCAAGCGAGCCTGCTGTCCGCCGGTGGTGTAATATCCGCAGAACATTGTTGCCGTCGTGACCCGATAGCTTTCGCCCAAATATTCGATGTATCGTTGGTTCACTGACTGGCCCTTCGGGTAGGGGACCTATCCTGACTGTGCGCTTGCGTGATTGGGGGATGCTCGGGTTCTGCGGGGTGTCTATAACTCTTGCTCGATAGCGGGGCGTGGAGACGAAGGCACGACATCGCGGGCGCGAGGATCGATGTCGCTGTATGAGAGCTAATAAAGGCGACTTGAGGGTTGGCTCTGATAACGGTTGTGCAGTGCAGAGTCGCCGCGCGAGCGATGCGCATGTTGGTCGGAGGAGGGACATTGTTAGATGCGCCGGCCCACCACAATTGTCGCACTTAGGATTGGCGTTGAAGAGCGACTATCGTCGGATTGTCTTGTTGACAGCCGTATCTGCTAGAGCCGAGCAATGCATGGTACGCACGTCGTGGGCTATGGTATGCCAGATGCATGATGCGCATTGCCAAAATGTTCCGTCGGCATCTCGGAGATGCACAGACGTCCCCCGTCAATCACTTGCACATGGCACTCACGAGCCAACAGGTGGGGTGTAAGTGCGACCAGGATTTGAGATCTCAAATGTACATTGTTTGTGATCTTATATCGAATCGGTCTTTCATCAAGTCTCTCCCAGTGCCTTCATCTTCGCCAACACTCCCATATTCATACCCACGATCAACTTGACCAACTCCCAATCCCCATACTCTCCCACATTGTCCATCACAACAACACCCGTACTTCCATCACCGCCTTTCGCCCTCCTCACTACACCCTCGGCGCTCTCATCTGCGACCTCCGGGTGGCGAGGCGTCGTGTTTGGCGCTTCCAAGTGATGCCCCTCACAAAGCCACTCCTCCATGCCCCTGTTGACAATTTTGGCGATAGCCCCAGGCCAGCAAGATTTCTTCCAAAAGTTGCTTCCGGAGAGAAAATTTAGGTGCAGTGGTCCTGGCGGTACTGGGTTCGTGACATCGGTCGTGATGCCCGGGATTGGGTGAACGGCGGCAGCAGAACGCACAAGATGGTCGTTACAATGCTGTATCTTTGTTGGGATGATATCTGGTATTAGAACCTCGCAGAAGTCTTGGAGACAGAACGTTGGTGCGGACGAGTGCGATGGGAAGACGGCGTGAGTTGCGTTGTGCGGCCAGGCTGTTGCGTCTAGTCCGCCATTCTTGCAATCTGAACTCGAAGATGAAGCCACAGTCCGGGCTACATTGTACCTCCGTACCAGAACCAGCTTGCTTCTTACAGCTCCCAAATACGGTATCGCGTTCTCCGTGTACCAATGGCGTGCATTGGGGGTGATGTAGTGCTCCTCTAGGATGCGGGCAAGATGTTCGTCCGTCGCGCTTCCCACACCTTCTCGCTTCAAACTCACCAATACCGTCTCGCTTGGGTTGGCTAAGAGAAAGTCGTAGCATATCTTCAGGATGGGCTCAAGGTACTTCGGTCCTGTCAGACTCACAGGGAATGCGCCGTGTACAAGGTAAAGGTCTTTCTTTGATGCATCCGTCGCGTGTGTTGGCTGTACACGTATGTCCAAGAACCTGATCCCATTTTCTAGCTGTACCTTGATATCGTGGACCTGACATCGAACAGATGGGAGGGCTCGATAGTGCGTATGTGCGTTGTGCGATCCGGGGATGCTTATAGCTGATAGAGGTAGATCATCTGGTAATGAGCCCATCCATGCAGAGTAGTTTGGAATGTGATTCACATGAATCGAGAGATGGGGAACTGGTTTCGATGGGTGAAAGAGGGCTTTGTAGGTTGTTGAAGAATCTGCGGACAGCGGGGTGAACGACTGTGTTGACTTTTGAGTATATGACGGGTGCGTATCAATGCGATGGCGTTCACCATTGGAAGTCTGGATGATGAGACGCAGGGTTGGGTTTGATAGTGTAGATGCGTTGGACTGCTTCGAGTTTGCAAATGTTAAAGTATACGACTCGAACGGCTGCAAGACAGTCTCAAGATCTTGACCGTTGAAGCTTTGTGCATGGTTGCTGAGTTCAGGTGAAGTAGGCGCCGCGGATGGGGTGCTTTGAGCACCGAGGAAGTACCCGCTTGCTTTCGACTGTAGTGTATTTGGGTCCTCAAACCGCTCCACACGCTGAATCGAAAGGGTGACAGGCGTCAAATTTCGCACGGTAAGTGGTGAGGCCATGACCGATAGTTCCAGCTCTTTGTTACTCCAGTGTCCTGCAAGGGTAGGATTTGAGATCTCTCAAGACACGTCAGCGCGTAGAGAGGTTGACAAACTTGAGGTGCCGACCGAAGCTATCCCAATTGAATGAGTTTGTTGCAGGACTGGTGACTGCGGAACGATGCCGTCTCGAACAAAGTGTAAACCTTTGTCTC